CTCCCGCGGCCGCCGCCCCCCCTCCAGCCCGGCCGGGCCCCGCCCCCGCTGCTCCGCCCCGGCCCCGCCCCTGCCGCAAGGCCCCGCCCCCCGGCCGCCGGCCACGCCCCTCCCCGCTGAGCGCCCCCGGCCCGGGGGGTCCTGGGGGGTCCCCGTTTGCAATAAAGGTATTTTACTACACTGGGAGCACTGGTGTGTACTGGGAACACGGGGGTGTACTGGGAGCTCTGGGTTACACTGGGAGCACTGAGTTATACTGGGAACACCAAGTTATACTGGGAGCTCTGGGGTGTACTGGGAACACTGGTGTGTACTGGGAGCACTGGTTTGTACTGGGAGCGCTGGTTTGTACTGGGAACACTGGTTTGTACTGGGAACACTGGTTTGTACTGGGAGCACTGGTTTGTACTGGGAACACTGGTTTGTACTGGGAGCACTGGTTGGTACTGGGAGCACTGGTGTGTACTGGGAACACTGGTTTGTACTGGGAGCACTGGGGTGTACTGGGAACACTGGGATTCCCCCTCGAGCACCAGTCAGAGGCCGCGGATCTTTCTGGAAAGTTTTTAATTAGAACCTGGAAAATCCACCGCGGAGGGGGCGTGGCCTGGGATTGGCCCCTCCCCCGGAGTGTCCCCGCCCCCAGGGGCGGTGCCTGGGGCGGGGCTACAGCAGGACAAAAAAAGGGGGGGGGGGGAGGGGACGCCCCACCCCCACCCCGGAGCCACCCCCGGCAGCAGCAGCGCCCCCGCCCCTCCCCCCCCCGGGGCCTTCCTGAGTGCGGGGGGAGGGGACACCCCTGTCCCCAAGGGGGGAGGGGCAGGGACACGCCCCACCCCCCCTAAGGCCACCGAGGGGTCCTGGGGGAGCCCCGGACTGGCCCCGTGTCCCCCCGTAAGGCTCGGGGACACCGGGGTGTCCCCACGTGGCCCTGGGCCCCCCCCCAGCTGTTCCTGAGCCACCCACGGTGTCCCCAAGGACCACCCACGGTGTCCCCACGTCCTCCCGAGGCCCAGGACCCCCCTCGGGGGCCACTCCTGTCCCCAGAGGCCCCTGGGCCCCCCCGGCTGTGTCCCCGTCCTCACACGGGCCGTGCTCCCCCCTCCCCGAAGGTGTCCCCAAGGTCCCTGGGCCACCCTGGATGTCCCCAGCAGGTCCCAGGGTCCCCCTGAAACCCCGGCCCTTGTCCCCAGAGGCCCATCCGGGATGTCCCCACATCCTCACGAGACCCTGGACACCACGGGACATCCCCGGGGGTCCCGGCAGGGTGACCCCAGACGTCCCAGCCCCACCATGGGGACACCTGGACCCACAGGAGGTCCCAACCCCACCCATGGGGACACCTGGACCCTCGGAGCTCCCGCCAGGTGAGCCCCAGGTGAGGTCCCGGCTCCATCCCCATGGGCCGGGTTCAGCCGTGAGTTCTCCCAGCTCCAGCCAGGGGCTCCCAGGTCCATCCTGGACATCCCAGCTCCATCCAGGAGCTCCAGGGCCCACCCCAGGAGGTCCCCTGGGGCCGCCAGGTCCATCCAGGAGCTCCTGGATCCATCCAGGACGTCCCCACAAAGGCCTGGAGCGTGCCCGAGGTCCATCCTGGCGCTCCCGTGGGCGTCCCCACCGTGTCCGTGGCTCGCAGCCGGAGCTCGGCGGCCGCCTCAGAGGCACTCCCGGCTCGCCGTGTCCGTGGCCGGCGGCCGGAGCCCGGCGGCCGCCTCGGGGCCGCTCCCGGCTGGCCGTGTCCGTGTCCCCGGAGCCGCGGCTCCTCGGGCACCGCGGCCGCTCCCGGGCGACCCCTCCGGCCCCGTCCTCGTCCCGCGGCCGCCGGGCGGTGCCGGAGCCGCCGGCGCGCGGCCGTGGCTCAGAGCTTGAGCTCGTTGGCCACCTTGGAGGCGATGTTCTTGAAGGCCATGGAGGTGCCGGCGATGCGCTTGAAGCGGACGCCGTTGAGCGAGAGCCGGGGCAGTTTGCACACCTCCATCTCCCACTGCACGAAGGAGTCGTGGCCGGGCGCGCCGTGGGCGCAGAGCAGCACGAAGCGCTCCTGGGGCTCGCAGCGGCAGCTGTTGGCGTCCAGCACCTTGCGGATCTCGCGCAGCATCTCCCCGGGCTCCAGGGAGCTCGTGGTCTTCATGCTCCAGGTGAAGCGCAGCGAGCGCGGCTTGGCGTCGCGGCCGCCGGCGTCGCGAGGGTCCTTCTCGGGGCCCACGGCGGGTCTGGGGGGGAAACGGGGTGGGAAGGGGTCAGGGGGGTCCCGGGGGTCCCTCCCGGGGGGTCTGGGGTGGCACCATGGGGTCACCAGGGGGGTTGGTGGCCCCGGGAGGGGTGAGGGGGGGGTTGGGCCACCGTGGGAAAGCTGTGCTGGGTCACAGGGACGGCACCTGGGCCCTGGGGACAAAGGGGTGGCCCTGGAGGTGTGGGGAGCCCAGGGGTGTCCCCAGCGTGTCCCCAGGGTGTCCCCAGGACATCCCCATGCCCCCAGGGTGTCCCCATGTCCCCAGGATGTCCCCAGGGTGTTCCCAGGGTGTCCCCATGATGTCCCAGGGTGTCCCCAGTGTGTCCCCAGGTGTCCCCAGGGTGTCCCCATGTCCCCAGGATGTCCCCAGGGTGTTCCCAGGGTGTCCCCATGATGTCCCAGGGTGTCCCCAGTGTGTCCCCAGGTGTCCCCAGGGTGTCCCCATGTCCCCATGATGTCCCCAGGGTGTCCCCAGATGTCCCCAGGGTGTCCCCAGGTGTCCCCACTCACCTGAGGGTCTCCACCCTCTCCTTGCTCTCGGGCTCGTGGGGGTTCCTCGGGAGACAAAAGGGGCTGAGATCAGTCGGGGGGGGCTGGGGGGGGGTCACAGCCCCTCCCCCCCCAGGGGACCCGGGGGGCACAGACAGCACCGGGGGGGGCGGGGGGGACACACGGACACACGGGGGGGACACACGGACACACGGGGAGGGGACGAGGACAGACGGATGAGCGGGGCCGGGGGGGGCCATGCGGGGCCGTGCAGCACTGGGGAGGGGCCGGGGGGGTTCGGGGGGGTTTTGGGGGGTCCCTGGGGGGGTTTTGGGGGGCCCTGGGGGTGCCATGCGGGGGGGACCCAGCGTCCGGCGCGGCCCTACCTTCTGGCAAACCTGAAAGACAGATTTCTACAAAGACAAACAGAAGAGAAGGGGGCGTTGGGGGGGGAGGGGCCGGGACAGAGCCACCCCCACCCCCCGTGACCCCCCCACAGCCCCCCAGAGACCCCTGAGAGAGGGGGAGGGGGCAGTGGGGTCCGGGGAGAAGCAGCACCCCCAGCCCCCCACCCCGGCTCTGTGGGGACAGAGGGACAGGAGGGGACACGGGGGGACATGGGGGGACCCCAGTGGGACATGGGGGGTCCCCAGTGGGACAGGAGGGGACACGGGGGGTCCCCAGGAGGATTAGTGGGGGGACAGGAAGGGAGGTGGGGGTCCCTGAGGGGACAGTGCAGGGGACAGGAGGGGACACAGCGGGAGGAGAGGAAGAAAAGCCCTGAGAACACCACGGGGACACCCTGAGGGGACAGAGAAACACAGAGGGGGGACAAGGGGACACCGAGGAGGGGTCAGAGGGGACAGAGAATCCCTGGAGCACCGAGGGGACACCGAGGGGACACCGAGGGGACACTCGGGGGACACCGAGGGGACAGCCCAGGACACACAGAGGGGAGCACACCAAGAGGACACAGCGAGGGGACACCGGGGGACAGTGAGAGCCCAGAACACAGCGGGGGGACACATCCAGGAGCGGGGGGCGCGGGGGGCGGCCCCGGGGCGGGGCGGGGCAGGTGTGCCGCTCACCTGCGCACGAACTTGGAGGTGAACTTGCTGAAGAGGCTGGCGGAGGGGCCGCGCCGGCCCTGGCTGGCGCCCGAGGGGGAGGCGGGCGGGGGCAGCCCGGGGGGCAGCGCGTAGGGCAGGGGGTCCCGGGGGTCCCGGGGGGCGCGGAGCTGCCCGGCGTGGAAGGTGCTGCGGCTCGAGACCCCCCGAGGGAAGCTCGGCCGCTCCCCCGGGCCCTGGCTCACGTTGTGGGCAGAGGGGGACGCTGCCGGCACCCGGGGGGGGGCCCCGCTGTGGGGGGGACACGGGGGTTAGGGGGGGACACGGGGGTGGGGGACACCCCCGAGCACCCCTCCCCCCCCCGGCACCCGGGGACACCCCCGGACCCCCGAAAAGGGGACATTGCTGCCCCCAGGGACACCAGAGACCCCCGGGGAGCCCCTGTGGGAGCTGAACACGGGAATGGGGGCCCGGGGGGGGTTCACCCACCCCCCCAGCTCCGTCCCTCAGCCCCCCAGGAACCCCCCAGGACCCCCCCGGGGGGGTTTTGGGGAGGGTCCCACCTGTCCTTGCCGTTCTGCAGGGAGCTCTGGCCCAGGCTGGCGCGGTCCAGCAGCGGCGAGTTCCGGCTGCGCGTGGTGCCGGTGGAGAGGACGCTGTTCTGTGGGGGGACACGGAAAGGGGGGCGCTGGGGGGACGCAGCTGTCCCCAAACCCCCCCCAAACAGCGGCCACTGGGACCTGGGGACCCTCCAGTGGGGACAACAACAGCCCCTCAGTGACCCCAGCCCCACCCTGGGGGACCCGGGTTTGAGTATCCCCCACTCATCCCCGCCCTGAACGACAGACCCCAAACCCAGGGGGGCTCCGGGTGTTTGGGACCCCAATCCCAGCTCAGGACCCCTCCCCAAACCCAGGGCTCCGGGTGTTTGGGACCCAGCCCAGGACCCCTCCCCAAACCCAGGGGGGCTCCGGGTGTTTGGGACCCCCCTCAGGACCCCTCCCCAAACCCAGGGGGGCTCCGGGTGTTTGGGACCCCAATCCCAGCCCAGGACCCCTCCCCAAACCCAGGGGGGCTCTGGGTGTTTGGGACCCCCCTCAGGACCCCTCCCCAAACCCAGGGGCTCCAGCCCCCCCCGCTGTCCCCCCCTGCACTGACCGTGGAGGGGGAGGGGGTGCCCTTGGAGCGCTCCAGGCCGGGCAGGGGGCTGGGGGGCACCTTGGCGGTGCTGCCGGCCCGGCGCCCCCCGCCCTCTTCCTCCCCTGCTCCTCCTCCTCCTCCTCCTCCTCCCCCCGCTCCTCGCTTGTTCTCCGCGTTGGCCGCCTGCGTTTTCTTGGAGTACGAGGCCGAGGTGGGGATGGAGAGCCCGGCTGGGGGTGGGAGGGGGTCTCAGGGCTGGGGGTCCTCAAACCGGACCCACAGGGACCCCTCCCTTCCTCCTCACCCCCTCCTCACCCGGGGATCCCACCTGGCTGCCCCCCAAACCCTCCCTCTGGGGGTCTGGGCACCCCCATTCCCACCCCACAGGGACTTGGGGGTCTGGGCACCCCCATTCCCACCCCACAGGGACCCCCCACTCCCCGAGGGGCCCCAGCTCCCCCTTCCTGGCCCCACAAAGCCCCCCCAGCATCCCGGACACCCCACTGCTGACGGCTCCCCCCTCCCACAGACCCCAGTGTGCCCGTCTGGGGGCTCCCCCCGGTCACTGACCCCCCCCCAATTGGGTCTGGGGGCTCCCCCAGTGGTCACTGACCCCCCCAATGGTCACTGACCCCCCCAATTGGGTCTGGGGGCTCCCCCAGTGGTCACTGGCCCCCCCAATTGGGTCTGGGGGCTCACCCTGGTCGCTGACCCCCCCAGTGGTCACTGACCCCCCCCAATTGGGTCTGGGGGCTCCCCCAGTGGTCACTGACCCCCCCAATTGGGTCTGGGGGCTCACCCTGGTCGCTGACGCGCCGTTTGGGGTTGGCCGAGACGCTGCGCTGGACCTTGTGGGCGGGGGAGGGTCCCGAGCTGTTGGCCACCTCCGGGGCCACCCGCGGCTTCAGGGACAGGTTCTCCTCCAGCTGGGGACACGGGGGGACACGGGGGGACACGGGGGGACATGTGGGGACAGGGCATGGCAGAGGACGGTGTCCCCTCAGTGTCCCCACGTCCCTGCTCGTGTCCCTCCTTGTCCCCACGGCCCCTCAGTCCCTCCGTGCTCCTCGTGTCCCCGAGTCACCTCAGTGTCCCCGTGTCCCCTCATCCTCACATCTCAGTGAGGCCACACCGCCAGTGCCCCCTTGTCACCGTGTCCCCTCACCCTGGCACCGTGTCACCCTGGCACCGTGTCACCCCTGGCACTGTGTCACCGTGTCACCCCTGTCACCCATGTCACTGTGTCACCCATGTTACCGTGTCACCCCTGTCACCCATGTCACCGTGTCACCCCTGGCACCGTGTCACCCCTGGCACCCATGTCACCGTGTCACCCTGACACCGTGTCACCCCTGTCACCGTGTCACCCCTGTCACCCATGTCACAGTGTCACCCCTGTCACTGTGTCACCCCTGTCACCCCTGTCACTGTGTCACCCCGACACCGTGTCACCCCTGTCACCCATGTCACCATGTCACCCCTGGCACCGTGTCACCCCTGTCACCCATGTCACCGTGTCACCCCTGGCACCGTGTCACCCCTGTCACTGTGTCACCCTTGCACCATGTCACCCTGGCACCGTGTCACCCCTGGCACCGTGTCACCCTGACACCGTGTCACCCCTGTCACCCATGTCACCCTGACACTGTGTCACCCCTGTCACCCTGTCACCGTGTCACCCTGACACCGTGTCACCCCTGTCACCCATGTCACCATGTCACCCTGGTACCACGTCCCCTCCTCGTCCCCTTGTTCTCGCTGTCCCCTCAACCCCTCCCCTCACCTCCCCATGGTCCCTGTCCCCACAGTGTCCCTGCTGACCCCCCATGTCCCCACTGTCCCCCAGTGTCCCCCCATGTCCCCACTGTCCCCCCATGTCCCCACTGTCCCCAGTGTCCCCCCGGTGTCCCCACACCTCGGAGCTCTTGTGGTCCAGCAGCAGGTACGTGGCCATCACCTCGTTGTACTTCTGCCCCACCAGCGACTCCTGGATCTCCTCCCGCGTGTACCCCATGGACACCATCAGCTCTGGGGGGGACACGGCCCTCAGCCGGGGGGGACAGGGGGGTCCCCGTGTCCCCAGAGGTCACCCCGGGGGTCCCACCTGTCCTGCGGGGGTCCTTGTAGTCAGGCACGGGCTCCATGTAGGGCTTGAGCTCGTCGTCCTCGTGGCCCACGTTCATCCAGCGGTCCTTCATGATTTGCTGGGGGCACAAGGGGGGCTCAGGCGGGGTCGGGGTCACCCCTGGGGACACTTTGGGGGCGGGAAAAGATCCTGGGGGTGACGGGGAGGGTCCCCAGAAGCTCTTGGGGTGCTCTGGAGGGTCTCAGAGGTTCCCAGAACCACGCTGGGGGTCCCAGGGTGAGGTTGGGGTGTCCCCAGAACTCCTGAGGTGGCACTTGGGGGTGTCCAGAACCACGCTGGGGGTCCCAGGACGATGTTGGGGGGTCCCAGGACGATGTTGGGGGGTCCCCTCACCTCCAGGGTGCCCCTCTTGGTGGGGTTGAGGATGAGGAACTTCTTGAGGAGGTTCTCACAATCCGTGGACATGTAAAAGGGGATCCGGTACTTCCCCCGCAGCACCCGCTCCCGCAGCTCCTGCAGCCCCAAAAACACCCGTGGGCACCCCAAAACCTCCTGAGAGACCCCCAGATCACCCGTGGGCACCCCAAAACCTCCTGAGAGACCCCCAGATCACCCGTGGACACCCCAAAACCTCCTGAGAGACCCCCAAATCACCTATGGGCACCCCAAAACCTCCTGAGAGACCCCCAGATCACCCGTGGAGACCCCAAAACCACCTGAGAGACCCCCAAATCACCTATGGGCACCCCAAAACCTCCTGAGAGACCCCCAGATCACCCATGGGCACCCCAAAACCACCTGAGGGACCCCAAAACCACCTGTGACCACCCCCAAACCACCCGTGGGGACCCCAAAACCACCAGAGAGACCCCCAAATCACCTATGGGCACCCCAAAACCTCCTGAGAGACCCCCAGATCACCCATGGGCACCCCAAAACCTCCTGAGAGACCCCCAGATCACCCATGGGCACCCCAAAACCTCCTGAGGGACCCCAAAACCACCTGTGACCACCCCCAAACCACCCGTGGGGACCCCAAAACCACCTGAGGGACCCCCAAAACCACCTGTGAGACCCCCAAAACCACCTGAGTGACGCCCAAAACCACCTGTGAGACCCCCAAAACCACCTGAGGGAGCCCCAAAACCACCTGAGTGACACCCAAAACCACCTGTGAGACCCCCAAAACCACCTGAGGGAGCCCCAAAACCACCTGTGAGACCCCCAAAACCACCTGAGTGACCCCCAAAACCACCTGTGAGACCCCCAAAACCACCTGAGGGAGCCCCAAAACCACCTGTGAGACCCCCAAAACCACCTGAGTGACCCCCAAAACCACCTGTGAGACCCCCAAAACCACCTGAGGGAGCCCCAAAACCACCTGTGAGACCCCCAAAACCACCTGAGTGACCCCCAAAACCACCTGTGAGACCCCCAAAACCACCTGAGGGAGCCCCAAAACCACCTGTGAGACCCCCAAAACCACCTGAGGGACCCCCAAAACCACCTGTGAGACCCCCAAAACCACCTGAGGGAGCCCCAAACCACGCGAGGCGCCCCCCAGCCCGTGTGTGTGTGCACACCTTGAGGTTCTGCCCGTCGAAGGGCAGCGAGCCGCTGACCAGCGTGTACAGGATGACCCCCAGGCTCCACACGTCCACCTCGGGCCCGTCGTACTTCTTGCCCTGGAAGAGCTCGGGGGCGGCGTAGGGGGGCGACCCGCAGAACGTGTCCAGCTTGTTCCCGAAGGTGAACTCGTTGCTGAAGCCAAAGTCGGCGATTTTGATGTTCATGTCGGCGTCCAGCAGCAGGTTCTCGGCCTGGCCACGGGAGGGAGAGCGCCCCAGGGGGGGTTACCGGGGGTCTGGGGGCGTTTGGGGGGCACAGAGGTGGGTTTGGGGGTGCTGGAACCTCTCTGGGGGTCCCAGGGGTGGCCAGGTGCTGTCCTGGAGGGTTCTGGTACCTACCCAGGAGGCTCAGGGATATTGGGAGTTCTGGTCTGGGGGTCCCAGGGGGGGCTGGATGCTGTTCTGAGGGTCCCAGAAAGGCCTGGGTGTAATTCTGGGGGTCCCAGGGGTGTCTGGGTTTAATTTTGGGGGTCCCAGAGGCGTCTGGATGCTGCTCTGGGAGTCCCAGGGGGGTCTGGGTGTAATTCTGGGGGTCCCAGGGGGGTCTGGGTGCAATTTTGGGGGTGCCAGGGGGGTCTGGCTGTAGTTTTGGGAGTCCCAGGGGGGTC